TAGACATTTCGAATAGGATCGTTATCAAAAATCTGGTTGTATTTTATGATTGTTCCCTCGGTACTTTTGTCCCTTAACGCAACGACTTTCAATTCCTTCAAATTGTATTTCATATTTAATTGCACTTCTCTCGTAATCCTTTCCAGGGCTGCCGAATCGTTGGATTTACTCAAAAGGAAAATTAATTAGTCATGGCCGATGATAGTTACGCAAGGCCATCAAGACGGAAAAATTGTGGCAATCTTTGTTTTCAAATTTGTAAGTAGACTAAAATTATAAAAAAGAAAGAAATAATAATAATAAACTGGGTCGCCAGCTGAAACAAAACGATTCGGGATAGTATGCCGTTTTCATATAAAAATAAATTCTCAATAATATTTTCTAGAATAAAGATATGTTAAAATTTAAGGTCGAAGTATTAATAAATAATTAGAAAAATTCGTCCACAGTCTATAAAACCGTCAAGCTCACTCATGATGACTCACACTAATAATCTTATATAAATTAGTAAAATTAAATTTTGCGTTCAAAAAGTGAGTATTCAGTTTTTAAAAAGCTGGTTGTCCTGCCACGTTTTATGCCAAAAATGATGAGTCTCAACATATTATTTCTTTTCTGAATCCCTTATAAATTTTCCGAAGCTCTAGCTGTTCTTATAATTTCATTTTAAGAAGATTCTTCTTGCTTTATAAATAAATAAATAAATAAATAAATATATATCTATATANTATCATATCCAGCAACTACCAATAAAAAATTAAAACTATAAAATCATCACAAAAAACGCACAAAAGTGCACCAAATTGATCTGGCGGGAATTATTATATTAAATATATTTTCAAAAATTTACCCAAAATTACTGGCACAATTTAAAACGACCATTGATTTGCTTGATATTTTTTTTTAAATTTCTAATTTACAGTGCCTTAAATGAATTAATGTATCAATTTGTATGCATACTGTATAAACTATGGCTGTAACTTTTGTTTGAATAGATAGATTTTGTAAATAAAGCAAAGGAAATCATCACGATGATAATGACAAATGTAAATTCCCTTCAAGGAGTTTTTACTCAAGTGGCTCCCGTTCATCAAATCCCCATTAAACACGAGAGTAGCCGATAAAGAAGCTGTCTTACACAATTCCCTTTTACACTACATTCTGCGGTAATTTGGAGTGGATCATTAAAGATTTTCCCGATTTTCTGACGTGAGCTTCCCACGTTATTTGTACAATAAATTGGTAGTTAATTTTCAGTCTTTATTGCAAGGTTTTCTTAAAGTTTAATTGGCTATTCATAAGAATGTGTAGAAATAGTGTTTAATTTTTGAATTTTTATGCTTTTTAAGAATAATTTTGAAACGATTGTTTAAAGAAACGAGCGAAATGTAAGATTTTACAAATAAAACATCTATGACCACTAATTCGTTGCGTAAAAGTTTCGTATTTAATTTGTATTGTACAGCATCATTGATGATGATTTGTCAAGGAAGAAAACGTATATTCACATTCAACGATACGGATCAATATGATTATCGAGTCGTGACGTTGAATTGTTTCACATGACTGATTGTCCGAAACTTCCACGCCAGTGATTTAGTTTAATTATACTTGTGATGATGTCCATCCTTGCGTCAAACTGTAAGTCAGAAAACAGACCAGGAGACGGGAAAACAGACAAAATACTCCAATTTTCACAACAAAAAAATACATTTCACTCTCCTCAAAAGAGAACCAGTGCACGTTTCTCTCCCTTCACTTCTTCACTATTCTATACAATTATAATACTTGTCATTAACCAGACTATTTATCAACGCCCTCGCACATCAACTCTCGTAAAAATGACAAACCTTATTTATTAAAAAATGTCACACTAGAAGAACTATATGAAAACCTGCTAAAAAACTAAAAATTTTTAAAAAATTTTAACAATAAGTTTTAATTATTCAGAAATCGTGAGATGCGGTCTGGTGTGATATAGGTTTCAGAAAAACATTTTCTTTATCGTGCCAACGTTTCGATCTTTATTGAGATCATCTTCAGGGCCTGGGATTTACAAACATTGTTTACATTTAACAAATACATTTAAGATGTGGAAAAATGAATTTATACAATGCAAAATATATTTTTATTTTTTATATTCAATCAAAGTATTTCTATTCACTCAAAATGTTTGTCTTCTGTGTAATTGTGCCATTCTTGCGTGTTGTGTTGAGAGTGCCAGTGAGATTTTGCTGTTTTATGTTTATAAAATCACCACACAAATAAGTTTTAATTTTAAAACTTCCTTAAAGTAGAGTAAAAATTATAAAAAATCTACACTAAATTAAAATAAGTTTAAAAATGCTTATTATAAAAAATAGCATAAATATAGCGAACCGTTGCATTCCTAAATTAAAAAAAAATCGCTTAACATAACTGCACATTAAAAAAAAAAAAAATTAACATTCTTCCACCTTGGCCGAAAATGCGTAAATAAAATAATTTAAATTTTGTAGCAAATTGTTAAAATAATATTAAGACTTCTAAAAATCTTCCTTAATGTAAAATAAAGATTATAAAAAATCTAAAGTAAGTTTAAAAATGCTTATTATAAAAAATTGTATAAATAAAGCAAACAGATTCCTAAATTAAAAAAATCGCTTAACATAATTGCACATTAAAAAAAACACTAGGTAACATTCTTCCACCTTAGCCAAAAATGCGTAAATAAAAAAAGTAAATATAATAATTTAAATTTTGTCGCATATTCTTAAAATAATATTAAGACTTCTAAAAATCTTACTTAATGTAAAATAATGATTATAAAAAATCTAAAATAAATTTAAAAATGCTTATTACAAAAAATAGTATAAATACAGCAAAAAGTTAGGTTCGTAAATTAAAAAAAAATCGCTTAAAATAATTGCGCATTAAAAAAAAAAAAAAAATAGATATCATTCGTCTATCTTGACCGAGAATGCATAAAAAATAAAATAAAATAATTTAAATTTTGTCGCATATTCTTAAAATAATATTAAGACTTCCGAAAATCGTCCGTAACGTAAAATAAAGATGATCAAAATTCTAAAATAAGTTTAAAAATGCCTATTATAAAAACTAGTATAAATACAGCAAACAGTTAGATTCATAAATAAAAAAATCGCTTAACATAATTACGCATTTCAAAAAACACTAGGTAACATTCTTCCACCTTGGCCAAAAATGCGTAAATAAAAAAAAGTAAATGTAATAATTTAAATTTTGTCGCAAATTCTTAAAATATTGTGTGGTGTTTATATCTCACTGGCACTCTCAACACGACACACAAGAATGGCACATCTACACGGAAAACAACCACTTTGTGCCCTGAAGATGATCTCAACAAAGATCGAAACGTTCGCACGATAAAGAATATGTTTTTCTAAAACCTACGTCACACCAGACCGCATCTCACGATCTCAGAATAATCTTAAAATATTATTCAGACTTCTAAAAATCTTCCTTAATGTAAAATAAAGATGATAAAAAATCCAAAATAAGTTTAAAAATGCATGTTATAAAAAAATAGTTTAAATACAACACAGTTAGATTTCTAAATAAAAAAATCACTTAATATAATTTAAAAAATGAGATAACATTCTTCTACCTTGGCCGAAAATACATAAATAATATAAAATAGTCATTTAAATTTTTTCGCAAATTCTTAAAATAATATTAAGACTTCTGAAAATCTTCCTTAATGAATCATAAAAATTATAAAAATTTAAAATAAATTTAAAAATTCATATTACAAAAATAGTATAAATACAGCAATAACTGTACTTTAAAAAAGATATCTTCTTCAATTTTGGCCTGTTGGCAAGTAAACCTTTGCTTTTTAAATATTATTTTAAAAACTACAAAATTTTATATAAAGATGCAAAATAGTCATATATATTTTAGAAGAAACGGTATATAAAGAAATTTTTTTTTAAAGGTTGAAAAATATAAATATTTATATACACATACAAAGAGCCAAAAATATAAACGCTTTGCACAAGTGTTAAAAAAGTGTAATCATTAATAAATTATTTGGCTAAGGCTGACTTACAGGAAATGAAGAAAATGTAAATTTGCTAAATTTGGATGCTTTATGGACATCGCCTGAATGAATGAAACTGAAACTGAATAAAAAAATTATTCATCGTTATATTTACAGATTTGTTAAGCGAAGAGAAATTTCAAAAATCATCAAAGATATCCAGAGGCCAGATTTTAATTATTAAAAAAAATTATAAATCACTTTTAGCATAAACTTTGTAACTTTGTGTAAATTAGGCATTTTCTTTCATTATTCCTGTATATAAGAAAGACCATAGACCCTAAGAAAAATCGACCGAACTGTATGTATTGATGATAACTTGCTGTATAACATCACTTGGCAGTAGTCATAGGATTAATTTATGATTTTTTATTCCTATAAAAATTAGTATTAAAGATTTTTAAGAGAGCGAATCTGAATTGTTCTTTACAAAAAATAAGTTTTTCGACCTACTTTACTGTAAATGCTTTTTCATTTTTGTAACTTGTTATACATCAAATCTCATTTAAAACAATCCTGCTATTTAATAAATAATTACTAATTCATGCATCATAAAGGCAGTAACCCGTATGAAAATAATTAAAGTAGGTAGTTAAAAAATTTTGATTTCTCGGCTTCTAGTGGTCTATTGGTAAAAATGCTTGGACAAGAGTAATTTTTTATTTTTGAACTAGTATCACCAAAAAAGTTTCATTAAATCCTACCAAAATAGCTGCTATAGTTATTTATTATAATTAGTGCTGTCATGAACATATTAAAAAAAATGTAAGATCTTAGGAGAGGGTGAATCAAGGGTAAGAAGGCAGTGAGGTAAAATTGCCTGATAACGATTTTAGATCTACAACCAATCAAGACAAAACAAATATATAAAACATCGTAAATAGTGGTCAGTGTTAAGTTAAAACTGAAAGGAATCAATCGGTTCGGAAGAAAATCAGAAGACGCCAGAGGGATGATGCTTGGACGCAGCCTGCTGGCTAGCTATACAACCATTGTCATCCCCCTCCAGGAGGCAGCAGATAACTCCCCCAACCCCCTCGGAACACCGGCGTTCAGTGTCAGTCTGTTCGGGCATCTCTGCTGTACGGACTCGATCACGATGATGAACTTAGTGACGGCCGTTCTACTTCTCGTCTCGTACGCCTCCGGCACCAAGTTGACGAAGGAGCAGCTCGTGTCCAAAGTCTTTCCGAATAGGATATCGATGGACATCGACATGAACCCTTGCAAAGCCGGTAAGTGATTTTTTTAAAAATTCAAATTATTTTATATTATAATAAATACACGCTATAATTAGGTAGGTGGCTGGGTATTAGAAACTGAATGATTTTTTTTCTTCATCATTCAAAAGAGTAGATTTTAAAAGTTAGAAATAACTTTGCAGTTCTTTTTTTCATGCTGCATATTTTAAAAAAAATTGTAATGTCAAGAAAATACACAGAAAGTATCGATATAAAAATCAAATTTCCAGTCTTCTATGTGAAAATAGTTCAAATTAGTTTATTATAATAAAAAAATGAAATTTTTTAACGACAAATTTGATGGATGTGGGAAACTCACATAGTTTCAAACTTCATAAGTGAACCGGCCCAATCCTGATGGAAAAGTGCAACTTTTTTTCACTCTCGCTCTAAAATCTCCTCACCCCCTCATAAAAAAATGATTAAACCTCGGTCAAATTGAAATAAAGTTATTCCGTTATGCAAATAAAATATTCATTAGGTAACAAGGGCTATGTAACAAGGGCTATTGTTTAACGGCCGTCCGGGCCGAATCGAGGATTGTTTTTGTTTGCAAATTTTTCACCATACCCAACCAAAAAAAAAAAAAAAAAAAAAAAAAAAAAAAAAAAAAAAAAAAAAAAAAAAAAAAAAATGCATTGGATTTTTTTTATCGAAAACAGCCCCTTTCGATAAGTCCCTATAGGAGTTGATTTATCGCCGGGAAGGGTTGTTTTGTAAACTGGAACCATGTGAAGAATGATAAGGATTTCCATCCAGCCTGTTGCTTCTTACATTCTATTCAACGGCCTCAATGAGCGCGCTTTCTGATCCAATCAGCTTTATAATACGGATTCGGCCAAGGCTCTGAAAGCGATCCGATCTCATAAAGGCATCATTCGAGGTTGTATTTTGGACGTTTTCCCTTCTGGATAAGGTTGGACGATGAAAATAAGAAAGCATCCTACACCCTGAGCAAAAGTTCAAACTCAGAATTCATGAAATTCTTCTGTGATATCTTTCCAAACATAACTCAAATTTTGTTCACATTGATCAACAGTTAATAATTTAGCGAGGATAGGCAGGCCAAGATGCTAGGTAACTATCAAAAATAGGTTTATCACTCCTCAGACCGCAGGAGGAAATCTCACAAATCTAAATCTTTTTCCAAAGTCATCCCATTTCTCGGCATAACGGGCACCTGCTCTGCTCTTTATAAGCAGGTGTACGAGTGTAGCACGCGTTTGGCCTATCTTTAGCCTTAAGAAGCAATTCCCCAAAATTTTCGTATGAAGTTCAGTGTCATAGAAACTTTAGTCATGTGGAATCGTTTCTGTCTAAATAATTACATATTCGGGTCTTGATGATCTCACCTTTCCTTGTAATTTTTTTAGTAAGCCCCAACTTGATTGGACTTAATTTCTTCTTACAATCGTCGATATTCAGAAACAACTTGATTTTTTAGTTCATAACGTATTTTTTTTTCTTTTTCATTAAGCCCACGGTTGTTTGTTATGACATAGTGTAAGGGTGTGAAAGATAAGACATTTGATTTTTAAATCAAACCAGCCTTGATCAATTACTACTTACAAAATTCCATTTTGCGGACTCGGAGCTCTTCCGGAAAAAAAAGAATTTTTTTTTTGAAAATGATCGGAATTGAATTTAGGGTCGTTGAGGCTACCTTGGTCCTTCTTGAGTCTCCCTGCTTATATCCCTGAGGCCTCTCAGCTTCACGATAGTGTTTGACGATCAATAAAACATTTTGCGAAAGGATAGCATTATGAAAACCACAATATTTTCGGCACAATTTATCTAAAAGTGTGATAGTTCAATTAAAATCCACGAAAAAAAACTGATTTCTTCACAAGGACTTTTTTACTAGGCTTAATTGGAAATAATATATGTTCAGAGAGAGAGAAAAACGAGGCTTGGCGGACCCTGCGCCGCTCAATCTCCTAACATTATGAAAGTGGCATTATGAAAACTGCTAGTCTGGTCATTTTCTTTAGAAGGTAATAAAGAATATAGTAACTTAAAATACAGTTTAAATAAATTATCGCTTGAATAAAAAATAAAATAAAAAATCCACGGCATTTGCATACTTTATATCCAATAGTAAAAGTGAACTTATAGAGGTTAAAATAATTTTAACGATATTTTCATGACCAAACGTGAGTGGAGTATGTTCACCTTGTTAATATCTGTTATTTTTATACTCTTAGGTTACGTATTTTGCTTTCATACTCTCTGTTATTATTTGGCAGCCCAAAATGTAAGATAAAATCCATTTTCGAGAAATGTAAAGCCTAACTTTGTTGTATTTTTGTATTATTTAAATTGTTTAACACAATTTTGCAATAATTTTTTTTTAGCTAGCGTTAACGACTTACAGCGTTGTTTATTTTTAGACTTGCTCATCGTTATGCCCTCGTTAAAAATGTGCGGTTTATGCACTCCGGATGCTTTACGATTTGAAACGCATAAAACATAAAGCTTTAAAATTAGCGTTGTGTATACGAAACGGAATCGGACCGGCGATGAGGTTTACATGGAAAAATCTTCGAGCAGATTTTATTGTACAACAGATTTTTTTTTTATTAATGGAGAGAACGAGGGTCCGTCCAGTATCGCTTGTTACATTTTGTAAATATGTAATTTCTAATTCAGTCTACAGACAAATGCTCTTGTATACGAAATCAGATTTATTCACAAATCAATAGAAAAAATTCGATGATTTTTAGTTTACAAAAATACAAGCTATCCAATAAATTTGGAAACAACAAATAGGACCCTAGGGATTCAAAGCAAAAATTATATAAATATTACCCCCCCCAAAAAAAAAAAATCTTGATATTCAATTACCAGTTTGACACCCTTTTAGTTTTCATAGTGCGGGCATTAATAAAAAAAATGTTTCTTTTGTCATTAAACACCAATACGAGGTGAGATGTATCAGGGTTATAAGCAGGGAGTGGCAAAGCCACGGCATTTCTTTCTATTTTGCGGGAAAAGGCCAACGATATGATAGTATTGAGAGTCGTAGGGTCCGCCAAATCTCGCTTTTCCCTCTTTGTTCATAGTTCCAGCTTTCCTTAAACCTTGAGAAAAAATCATTGTGCAATGGTTCAGTTTTATTCAAGTCAGTGTAAAATGTCTATTAATTTTAATTGAGCAAATATTATATTTAAAAATAAAATTTAGCAAGGATATTTTTTAACTTACATAAAAAACCTAATCCAAATTTCATATATGTAGTTTCCACAGTGCCGTCTTTTCGAAAAATGTTTCATTGGACGTGAAACACCGTGGGGAAATGCGTCAGGGTTATAAGCAAGGAGAGGCTCGCTAATTCTCGCTTGTATCTCTTGATTGTTTCTAATGAAACCTATTAAGTCCTTGTGCAAAAGAACATTTCTTTTTGAAAAGTCATTTAAATTGATTTAATATTGTTATGTAAAGTGTGGATGAGATGCAAAATTACTGTCACGAGGGACGCGAATCCCACAAAATGGTACTAATTTTTCATATACAACTTTATATATAAATTATAAATCAATTTAAATCATTACGTTGGTTAATTAGGGCCAACTAAAATCATAAGAATAAATAAACATTTTTCACGATATTTTTCTGAATTTTAATCAAAAATCTTATCCATATTTCACATCCATGTGGTTTTCATAGTGACAGTGGAGATGCATCATAAGCAGGGATAGGCATTAGAGTCGACGTTTCTGTTTGTTTTGTGGCAGGGTTCGTCAAGTCTCGCTTGTTCCTCTTTGTACATATGGCCAAATAACAAATTTTCTAGTGCAAAATATCAGTTTTTATTCAAAATTAATATAAAAATGTCCATCAATATTATATTAATGGATTTAATATTTTCTTTGGTGATTGATCAGCCTTCTCAGTTTAAATATATTTTTTTCTTTCCAAAAGGTAGATTGGGGATGAGGCCAGGAAAGCTCGACAAGAAAATAAATGTTGTTTCCCAGTCTACCTTTTGGAAAGAAAAAAATATATTAATGGATTTGTTTAATTATTATTTTTCATAAATAAATTCATATCCTAGTAGTTTTCATAGTACACCATTTAAAAAATGTTTAGTTTTTGTGAAACACCACCGTGAGGCAGAGGTGCATCAGGGATATAAGCACGGAGTGGCAATAATACGCTCTACATTTCTTCCTTTTTAAGGCAAACCGCTAACGATTAGTATTGGGAGATTGAGGGCCTATTGGTACAAATATTGTTTCTAGTTTTGCCTAGTAACAAAATTCCTAGAATAAAACGTACTTTTTATTCAAAAATCACAACCATGGATTTTAATTTACCTATTATTTTATGCAAGGGTTTTTCATAAATAAAATTTGGCATCGATATTTATTAACTTTTATGGAAAAATCTTACACAAATTTAATTTCCTTGCAGATTTCATAGTGTTAGGAGATTGAGTGGATCAGGGTCCGCCAAGTCTCGCTTTTCTCTCTCTGTACATATATTATTTCCAATTAAGCCTAGTAAAAAAGTCCTTGGGAAGAAATTAGTTTTTTTTCAGGAATTTTAATTGAACTATCACATTTATAAATAAACTGTGGTTTTCATAATGCTATCCTTCGCAAAATGTTTTATTGATCGTGACGTGGAGAGGCCTCAGGGATATAAGCAGGGAGACTCAAGAAGGACCAGTGTAGCCTCAACGACTCTGAATTCAATTCCGATCATTTTCTAATTTTTTTTCGGAAGAGCCCCGAGTCCTCAAAATGGAATTCTTTATGTAGTAATTGATCAAGGCTGGTTTGGTTTAAAAATCAAGTGTCATATCTTTCATAGTCTTGCACTACGTCAAGCAAACTTAACCGTGGGCTTAGTGAAGCCTACTGAAAGGATCTTATCGTAAGTAAACTTTTGAGGAGGCAAACTGTAGTTATTAAAACAAGAGTTCGCTACGTCTTCTGCCTTTTATTATATGTATAAGAGATTATATCTCAAGCTGAAAATAAATGCTTTAA